AGAATACGGTGACTTTCAGTCGCAGTAAACGCCACGTGCCTAAACTCAGTATACCTATTCACATACCTCGTTACAATCGAATTACCTCCGCCATGGAAAAAGCCGCATCATTTGTTACGTCTGCTCACGTCATTAATCAAATGACCAAGCCCAGTCTCGCTACAAAACCGAGGAAACGAAACAAAGCGGAACAGAAGAAACACAGTATGAATTACCTTTTGTTTATTTTTTTTTTGTCTTCGGCAGAGGTGCTTAATTGACATAAATGGAAATAAGCCAATGAGATGAACCCAGATAAACGATGGAGCAGGGTGTGTCTAGCGCTTGTATTTGCAACCTAGCGTCGCAATCACTTTTGCTATAGCAATTACAGAGACGAATGCACTACGTTGTTTTGCCTACGTCCCATGAATACAGGATGGCATATATCAGATCCTACAGCCCCAACTTTCTCCCCTCTCTCTGTATTTCTTTCTCTCTCCCTGAGACTGGTAGTTCAAGTTTCGGATTGTGCGAGTGAGACTATAATTCATTTCAGATTAAGTCCTAGCGCAGCCAACGCTAGGATGCGGTGGAGCCAATCAGACAGGGCCAAAAGTGCATCGTCATGGCGCTCGTCGCTTTTGGTGCGTTTGCTGCAACAAGTTAGAGGGGCTTAGAGCGATAAACTGGCAGCTAAAAGTGAGCCCCACCCGGCCGCCGCCATGTTGTACATTTTTGACCACTAGACGCGTTACTTTATAGTTCTACGTCTAGATCTTAACCAAGTACCGCGTGGAGAAAATCGCCTATTGATATTTAGTGAACGTACCGACAAGATAAGTTATGTTCTCTTTGTTTCAAGTCCAAAATGTGATTTTAGGACAAAACCCGCGCAGCTTCACAATGGCTCCGCTACAGCCGCGGTACGTAATTTGGGTTTTTATCGGAGATAGACTCAGATCTCTGGGAGGGGGGGGGGGGGGGGGGGGGCTAACGATATTGAACAATAGTTTATTATGTTTTTGCAGCAACCGCAATAGAAGTCTCGGCTCACGTTTTACGTAAAAGCCTCAGGATTTGGTACGGTCACGTGTCAACTGGTCCAAATTGTACAACATAGCAGCAGCTAGGGGGGAACGGGATACCAGTTCATCGTTTTACGCCCTTCTACCACATTGGTTTGCTGTAATCAGTTAAGGTATCCCATAGTTTACTCGTGCTCAAGCTAAATCAACTTCACATTCATCGACTCGTAACATCATGAATAGAACAATTTTTAACCAATCGTACTCAGCATACTGTGGTTAGCAACCAGTCGTCACCTTGTTCTCCTGTATCATCCGGAGTCCCCCAGGACAGTGTTCTCGGACCTCCATTTTTTTTTTTTTTTTTTTTTTTTACATTTGTGAATGACCTACTTGATCACATAACATCCTGTACTGGACTTCTTGCTGATGACGGCGTAATTTACCGATCTGTATCTAAACTGAACGATAACATAACCCTACGAGCTGACCTTAACCTAAGAGCCGACAGGTGTAAACAGTGGAGAATGACAATTAACTTTTCTAAAACAAATCTCGTTTCCCTCACGCGTGCTCATATCCTCTTTCTTTTTCTTACACCATGTGCATCCAGGTAATTACCAAGTGTCCATCTTACAAATATCTTGGCGTTCATTATCTGACGATTTCTCATGGAACACGCATATAACACACGTCCTGTCCAATGCTAACCGCCCTCTTGGCTATCTTCGACGGAATCTAAAACTAGCATCATCATCAGTGAAAGAACTAGCCTACATTAGACTCGTAAGATCGCAACTTGAATACGCGTCATCCATCTGGTCCCCTTAGCAACATCCATTGATAACAAACTTAGAGGCACTTCGAAATCGCGCAATCAGATTCATTTTTTTGGATTACTCACGAGACACCAGTATCACTTCTTTACGAATGAAAGCTAACCTTGATCTGCTCTCGCCTAGAAGAAAACTATCACACCTGCCTCTTTTTCGCATGATTTACTATCATAATCATGACATCAGAATTTTACTATTATTCACAGCCACTCGCATATTTCCTCACATTGATAAAGTCTGTAAAGTTCGCCCAATTTTCGCCTCGTCAGTTTCGTTTCTTAACTCCACCTAGCCGTTAACAATAACAGACTGGAATAGCCTGCCTAGCAGTATACCGTGACCCCAGAGACATCATAACGCATTCATCTGCAGCTGCACTAATAGCAAAGTCATTTTGTGTTTAGAGAAATGATTTATTTGTGCATCTTTCTGTTTAATCAGCTGTATTTCCTTAAAGATGTTTTGAATGTTTTTTTCTTCTATTTTTGTTGCTTTATTTAACAATATTCCCGAGCATGAAACCCACTTTTTGTTGGTTCCTTTATGTAATGCTTTTTAGCAGGTTCTACGACCTTGTCTAATGCCCGTAAGGGCCTTCAAGGTTAATAAATGATAATGATGATGATGATGATGGTCATTGCGCTAAATATTCTGGAAATAAGCTTACCAGACTGAAAATAGAGGAGCCGTTGCGATTTAAGGGGGTGCGTTCAGAAAATGAAGGGGGGGAGGGAGGGGGAGGGCGTGCACACCTTCCCTAAGGGGGTGTAGGGAAATCACTGTTTTCGGCTTCTGTCCCTCTTGTTGTGTGTATCATTTCGGCTTCCTCTGTTTCGAATTTTTGTTATGCTTCTGTATCATCAGCTCGCTTGCGCACTTAGTTCTTTTCAAGTATCTTTAGAGCACCCAATTACCAACCGCGAAACACCTTTACTTAATAAAGTGGCATGTTATTAAGTGTTACGAAAACATTTTGCTGCTTTATGAAGTGGGCTCCACAAAACAAAAGGCACCATTAAAAAGCTTCACATTTCATTGAGTACAAGTTTAATTATTAATAATATAACGAACTCTATCATCTACTCAAGAAGGTACACGAAAAAAAATAACTTAATAAAGCTTAGAAGGTATAAGCAGCATGGAACTGCTTCTCCGCGCTGGCTCGGGAGCATCAGCCACGCAGAATAAGTACGTTCTTTTTTTTTTATCTTCAGCAGACGTCACTGAACTCGACACTCGAGACATCTCGAGTGTCAACGGTTCTAGTCAAGATGTTTCGCGGATGCCCCGGGGGCTTCTACCTTCTCAGGTTTGCTGACCCGCATTATTCGCCGGGTTTCCTTTAGTAAGTCAGATAACGCTTTGGCTCAAAAACCTTCTCCACGAAAAAAAGAAAAAAGAAGAAAAACCTCTTCGGGTTCATCTGACATATAAAGTTCGGGTTTCGTCTTACCCCTAACTGTACGGCCGAACACGAGAGAAACAACAACCGAAATCTCCAGAGTTCTGCGTCTGTTTCAAGAGCGTACTATACTCTGTTCACACCTATATGCCGACAGTGCGGTACGAGCTATAAGCGCTTGCCGGTCCAATCAACCGCCTTCCTTTTGTCACCTGATCCTGCTCTCTGTGCTTGGGTATGGTCGAGCGCGTGATCACGTGGCTAAAATATAGACGTATTACTGGTCCAACGAGCCCGTAGCTTTCACCGCACTGTCAGCTTAGCAAATAACGGTGTAAGGTAGCGGGAGGCATTGAAGCACTTTCCGCAGCGATGACGCGAACAAAAACGGTTCGGAGAGATCCGGTTCTCCGAGGCTGCCTGCATAATTCGCGTCCCTTTTCACGTTCGTTGGTTCTGTTCGTGGGATTTGCGATGAATAGAGATCGAATTTCCCTCGTTAGCCCGGGGCTTCGGCGCCGAAGCCACGCGCGTACAACCGCGTCGACGTGGGTTGGGAACTCTATAGAATCAAAAGTAAGTTGGCGAGGCCTACCGACTCGACACAGAAATACGTGTGCAATGGAGGGGACTAAGCCACACGCGAGCGCACGCGCAGAAAAGAAACAAAAAAAAAAGAGTTTGATGAGACTCGAGTTTAACGCTTTCAAGAACTAGCGAAATTAAAGCGTCAAAATGGAGAAGCTAAGAACACAAGCCTAAAGGGTAAAAAGAAATATGTATGACATACTGCGGTTGCCATGGCCGCAGTCTCCGAAGGGGGCCGGCCATTTTGGCACTTTCAGCGCGTGCCGAATTATAAATGTAATATATATGTTTTGAAGTTATCATAGTAGTGCCGCTAGAAATCACATTCGCACATTTTTTTTTTTTTTTTCCATTAAGGTCACAAACTTGTAAAGGTGACCCCACACGAAGCCCGAGGTGGGGACGTGAACACCTCGGTGTTTAGAAACGCGATCAATTAATCGTATGGCCATGCAGTGGACCATACGATATATAGTTAGTTGCCAATTGGAGAAAACGGCACATGCGAATCGCATGATTCGCGTGTGAACGGCTCATGCGAATCGCATTTGTGTGTAACAAGTTAACAAAATTGTTTGTGATGTTTTCCTCATTAAACTGTGGCACCCACCAGGTGTATGCTTTTTTTTACGCAACAGTTTGCTAAATTACGTCACTCGATCGAAAAAAAAAAATTCTGATTATCATGCGTCGTGAAGCTTTTTTTATGTTGCGGAATCTTGTTGATCTTATATTAGCCTGTCAAAGCAGATTGAAAGCATTATTCATTCTCTCGACTAAAGTGGGGCATCTCAGACATTCAAGCTTTTAAGTTGAAGCTATCAACTAAATTGCGCAGCTGAAGATTTAATTAGCCTTCTAGCCAAATTGTGACACTTCAGCCGAACTCAGACTTCGAGCCAAACTTGTCATCAGCCAAATTAAATGTCCAGCAGAGTTGAAAGTTCAGTCGAACTCAGAATTATGCGAAACAGAGACGTCCAGCCGAATCGAAACTTTCACCAAGACTGAAGCTTCGGCCGAATAAAGACTTCGGAAAAAACTACATGACACCGTGAAGCCACTTCAGACTTCTGACGTTTGACGGGAGCTCGAAAAATTTTGAAGATGGCTAAGAATGTTTCGTTCGAACTAAGTGCAATATTTTAATAAAAAGCGAATCCTGACGAGTAATTAACCTCACTTAAAAGCAATATGCCTTTTATCGCCATAAACGTTGCTCATATTACTAAAAATGCCATGTATTATTATGCATTTCCCCCGTTTGTCTGCATTCCCTCAAATAAAAAGAAAGTCAAGAAATTTCAAACGGCCCTCGCCAATATATGTGAAAATTCGGCCGCATAAAAGGAGCGAAATTTCGCACTCGGCATGCTGGGTTTCTGATAATAGTTTATCTCACGTCTTCATTGTTTGACGTAAAGGTTTGTGAAAGTTAATTTTTGTGCTTTGTAAATAAAAAAAAATGACGTTTCAATAAATTTATATAAAGGAAAATTCTGAATGTTTAGATTTTATAAGCGAACTGGACATGTGCATTAACATTTTTTTAATGATGCCACACCAGTCATTCCTTATTTTACTAAATGGTACATGAGGTATATCATAAAGATTATGGTCGCGTTAGAAGCATATATGTTATAATTACGCAAAAGTTATGGCAACGACCCATATATTTTCACCTTTGAATGGAGGTAAAAATATGGGTTCTTTTCAAATGCGCTGCCTAATATGACGAAACCATGTATGCCAAGGAAATTCTACTACTTATATAAAAACACACATAAAGCTTTCCATAAGAAAAATAAAAAAATGAGCACACGCATTTTTTTCAGGATTACTTTGAATTTTGTATTTTTAGCATTTCTTCTCAAATTTACAGTTTTGTTTCTTCTATATAAATTGTATCTAAAGTAGCAATATCATTTTTTATTCGTCTTAGATACAAGCTTTCATTTATGATGTTTCTCATGCCTTATATAATTGAACATCGAAAGCTAGCTAGATTCAAGCTTGGACTATTATTGTCAAAGATGCGAAATTCAAGCATATTTACTTCTTAAAATAAAATAAAAAAATAAAAAAAACACACTTCGAGAGAACTATTTTATATGAAATCTTAAAGCAATAAAAGCAGTTATAATTGTTGCGAAAAAAAATAATCTAAAAGTTTCGAGACTTCAAATGGTGCCACTCATCAAAACTGAAAAAAAATGGCAAGACGTACACATCGCGACACTGTTAGCGCGACCATGCCATCGGCGCATTTTTGCATTTTACTTCTAAATAATATTAGCGAACACGAAATTTTATCGCACAAATTATAAAACTAAATAGCTCTTTTCATAGCAATAAGAACTTGGATGTCATCCCTTGGTTTCAAAGAGAAAACTGGAAAAACCGGCGATCACTTGTTCGCGCTAACAGTGTCGCACTTCCTACCTTCCGCCCAGACTGCCCTTTCGAAGCCCAAAACTCAAGAATAAAAAGAAATGTTTTGTAGTTTGCAGTTTGCAGTTTTGTTCTAGTTAAACATTCTCCACCAACACACACACACACACACGCACACACACACACACATATATATATATATATATATATATATATATATATATATATATATATATATATATATATATATATATATATATATATATATATATATTAAACTTTATGAGGACCCATTATTTTTTCTTGCACGATTTGAGATGAAATCAACCGCCTACGAAGCACATGTTAGTATTTTTTAATAAAAATTCAGTGACAAAAAAAAAAGACGAGAAAGAAAATAGACGCGTTCATCACCTCGATTCGCAGAATGAACTGGCGACCACGGGATCAGTTGTCGAGTAATTTATATGCCGCTAAGCCTCTTTAAGGCCGACTCCCACAGTACCCTCTTCTTACGTTCCGTGCCAAGGGGCACGTGCAACGTGCAGCCTTTGGGAAGATCATGGCGGCACAGCGCAACCCTGAGTTAGATTTCAGACGCTATGTTCTTCCCAGAAGTGGCGCGCGGCACGTGTCTCGAGCATTTCCACAACAATGAATGGCGCCACTTTTCCCAGGATAGAGGGGCTTTACATAAATGCTCGTCGAGGAATGCTCACCCCATGCTCGTGTCCAACCATAGGCTACCCTCTTCTATACTCAAAAAGACCGGCAGTTTGACGACGGAGCCATAGAGCGCCTGTCGCAGATTTGGAGCACGAAGATCTGGCAGCACAGAGCGATTCACGGGGTACCTGGACGCCAGCGCACAGCTTTTGCAGCAACGGGGGCCCGAAACATGGGTTTCAAACCCGACAAGAAAAGAAGTGGTAGCGCGAGGACCGCGAGGAGCACGAGCGGACACTCCACTGCTCGAGAGAAGTGTGTTTGGGCGTCTTGCCGCAGCGGGCAACCGTCACGTGGCTCTTCTCCAATCCGTTTTCTGCCGCTCTACTTTCGCAATTTCGGCGGCCGCTTACCGTGGCGATAACCAGGCTTTGTCAGTAGAGGAAAGGCTATGATCCACTTTGTGAGCTATCAATATCGTCATCATAGGGAAATCCCCGTGAGCACGGCAACAATAGACTCGAATCACTAAGCGTTCAAAGCATGCGTGACACCGCCATAACTGTAGTTACCAAGAGGTAAGCTCCCGTGCACGAGACAGCTCGTTCCGTCTCGTGCTCTGCTTGCACAAACCTCCAGCTGAGTCGTCTCGTGTGGAGAAAGACTGCAGGTCCCACATGCTCGGGGAAAGCGGTGGCGTACTCAAATCACTCAAACTAGCTGATAAGATCGGTCTTTTCGATCCCCGTTAATGCGCCACCACAGTTCGCGAAAGCGAGTTGAAAAGAAGTGCGCTTTTACGCCTCCACATCGCGACAAAGACGATCATTGGTCAGTGGCGTTGCGTGCCAGTATAATTGGGGCACACTTGTGCTAGTAAGCTTGTACAAAGTAAGAAACATTCCAACCTAATATTGTCCGTGGTTCCGGAAAGCGTATTTGGAGAACCTTGCAGAGGAAGTATAGGGCCGATTTCTGCACACTTGTTGTCACGTTTCTAGGGATATCCCATTGGCTTAGAGGGGCGAGGGGAGGAACCATACCTTTTGTTTTTAGTTTCCAGGCTTGGTGGCACAAGCTACCGCCCGTTATAAATGGTGCAGCCGTTAGCATCCATGCATCTACCCCTTGGGTAAAGAAAGGAGGGGCGTCGAGGATTAGGTGAACACGCCTCAATGATTCAGCAACAAGAATTTATCCGGCTGTCAAAGTAGCTTACAGTTATCGGGTAAGCAAACGTGGGAGCCGGCTAAAGGCTTGTTGCTGAATACCTGCTGCGTGTTCCCCTAAACCCCGCCCTGCTCTCTCTTCCTCAGTAAACTAGATGATGTGACGTCCCTGAAAACGTGCCAAACAGAGTGCCGAATGTGACCGGTTGACTTACTCCAAAAGCTTTTCTGAACGCGCTTCCGCAGAGTCACATCCAAAGATCGCTGCTGTAATTCGTCAGATACCTTCCTGTTTCCGTTTGTTTCAAGGCCCTCTCCGACTTACACGACCCCCCAGTAAAGCAACTTACTCATCGTGGGAAAAGTTCCTTGCCTCGTAAACTCGTTAACCACGGCACTCTTTTTCTTTCATCGCTCGATGCGGAACTTCGAGGCAACCCAAAATTGCCCTCAGATTCAATTTTCTGCTCTGATGGTCTTTGTAACGGCGCAAGTAAAGAGAAAGGGAACTACAGACAAAGACCAGGACATCAAACGGCGTCAGGCCTGTGTTCATGGCTGATGTCTCGTCGTCTATAGAGTACGTATCGGACGCGCCCGCATTGCCGAAACGGAAAGGCCCAAACTGAGGTCCATTAATATATATGGCCCCGATGTTTTTCAAGTTCAAATCGGTCGTTCCGTGAGGGATCGTGCCCCTTGTTGGTCTGGTGCCATCACCGATGCCTTTGAAGACTTTTGTTGTTCTTTGGGTGTCAACACGCGCGCGATCCTAGTTCGTCTCCTCTTTGCGGACGTCGTGCGCTCGTGTACCCTCCCGATGCGTCCACGCAGTTTTGTTTCACCCTCGAACTCGGCCAGTGGCGGAGCCCGCTTGGTTGCCTCCTCATTGCGTGTGCCCTATGCGATATCCATGTTGCCTTTTCGTTGGCGTGCCCCTCCTCGCGTTCCGATGCGCCAGAGACTTTTTCCAGTACACTTGCTCTCAAAAACGACAGTCGTTTCGCATGCTATACTTCGTTTCACCTGAAGTCCAGAAACCAAGCGACGCTACGAGCTGATGAGACCAATCAGACAGCGTCGAAGGCGCACAATCATGGTGTTCATCACGTGTCTGTAGCTGTTCTATTACCGCTTAACCAGTCATAAGCAGAAAAAGAGCAGCGACTTTCACTTTTGACGTTCTTTGATGGGTGCTATTAGCTCGTAGCGTCGGCTGCGTCTGGAGTTGCTGAAACAAAGTAGAGCTATACGCTGTTTCACTTCAAGTTGGACCGCAGCCTTCTTCCGATGCAACCCATCAAGCAAAGTCAAAAATGCGTCGTCCCGGCGCTCGCCGTCTTTGTGCATCTGCTATCACCCACCAAACCTGTTCACGAGCAGTGAATGAGCCGTGATCACGCCCGCAAGTTCACAGTTGTCATAGAAATGTTTGCGTTTAATTTTTAGTATCAAGACATTTCTTTTTAATGTATTTGGGATTGTGAGGTGCAAAAACACGGAGCCGCGAACTTGTGGATAACGCAAGTTCGTCTGCTTTTTGCACAGGGGTTGCGGTGACCTCAGAATGACGCCGAGCTCTGATTGGCTTCGATTGGAAGATAGTGGGTAAATATCAAGACAGTTAGCACTGGGGTCTACTAATTGGAGCCAAACAGAGCTCGGCGCCGTTCTGACGTCACCGCAAGCCCCACGCGAGAAGCAGACAAACTTCCGCTCCGTATACGCTGCTGCAAAGTATACATTGTAGCGTGTATCTAACCTAAATAGGACGATGCGAATTTGTTTCGCACCTGAGGTACCAACGTATTCTGGATTTTGAACCATATGCGTTATGACGCAAGCAGTGGCGAACTCGGGGGTGATAACGTCTACGGCGACTTGCTTTTGCGCGCCTCTGGTGGTGATTATGATTTTGTGTAGAAGGTCGCGTGTCTACAAAAACGGACTGGCTGT